TTTATATGAGCACAAATTTAAATTTGTACTCATATGAAAGTTTACATGATAAAAAGTTAATTGTTCAAACACCTTACCTCAGCTAGTGCTGCGTTTGCCTTGTCTTGAATAAACACTATCGGGGGCACGTTCCTCAGTGTCTGCTGGGTCATCAGAAGGTGCCTGTGGGGAGACAGTGGGTTCTCGCAGCCGCATCACGCGCTCGGCCAAGAGGCCCGATGGTGCAGAGCAGGGGACACACAGAGACTCACCAGGAGACAAGAGTGGTCTATTGTAGAATTCAAAGATGAAAACGTCAGTCCAGAGAGCCATCTTCAGCCAGCTCCATACCACAAAGGGGTGTAAAGCGCATCACAACCACAGTTGTTTTTAATTCTCTCAATGCAACTTCGAGATCCTTCCAAATGACCTGGCCTGAACCTGCGATGTCCCTGGGCATCACTGAGGCCGTGAGCTCCTAGGCCTGTGCACTACCAGCCTGGCCTCTGCCTGGTGGACAGCCATTGGCACAACATAATCCTCAAGTACCGGACTTGGTACAACTGTGTCTAGTCCCCAGACCTTTGTATCACATCACGCAATACAAGCAGACGTCGTCAGTCTAGGTGCAGTACACGTCCAGTGAAACCGTGACTGCAGACCGCCGTAGGCAGCTATGGAGAAACCTGACGCTAAACCCTGGGTGACCACAAGAGCTGGGAAGAGGGACATTCAGCTCAACTGAATTGTCTGATTGCCTAAAAATCAGAAAACAATGCTATTTCAACACTTGTTGAAAATCTCTCTTTTCTTGCTTTTGTTAAATATTTAATAGTAAAGATGACATTGGCCATTCTGTGATACACAATTGGAGAGACTCTTGGGGACTGCTGTAGGGATGTCAGTGATGACCATGTGGAAGTGCCAGGGCAGAGTCCATGCGCCACTGACTGCTCAGCCTCTGCCCCTTCCCCAGAAAAGGGGGCATGACGAGAAGGGAGGAGGCCAGAGGGGAGAAGTGAGAGGCAGAGCCTGAAGGAGGAATTCCAGCTCTCAGTGCTGGCTGGTGAGCTGGACTTCTGCATTTTTTAAAATGGAAGAGAAAACTGAACTTCTTTATTATCGCCAGCTCAGCAATTCTCAAAATCTTTGGTCTCAGAAAAACTTTACATTCTTAAAAATTATTGAGGATCCAAAAGAACTTTTGTTTGTGTGGGTTTTATCAATATTTACTGTACTAGAAATTAAACTGAGAAATCTAAAACTCATGTCTTTTTAAAGTCACCTAAAATACTACTAAACCCACTAAATGCTCGCATAGACATTTTAAAGGAAAAATAACTATACATTCCATTAAAAAAATTAGCAAGAATCATGACATTGTTTACCTACTTGCACATTCCCCAAGGCCTAGCTTAATGGAAGGCAGCTGGGATCTCAGCACTGCTTCTGTATTCTGTCCTTACTTTGGTTGAAATAGAAGAAAATCTGGCTTCACAGAGATACAAGTAATCAGGAAAAGAGAGTGTATCAGTAACCCTCAGAAAGTGTGGATTTTCCTTGATGCCACACAACTCAACAACTGGTAATTTGTTAAAGGTTAGTCACAAGGTGGAATCTGAAACCACACCAACACGTCACACTCTGCCAGGCTGAAGCCCACTGGCCTAGCTGGCACTGTGAACAGATCTCCCCATGCATGGTTTTGTCATCTCACACACTGGTCACTTGGAAAGCAATGGCTCACCAAGCTATGCAGATTTTCCATATGTTGACATGGTTACCAGGCTTATTATACAACACTGCATTTGTTGACATTGCTGCCAATCTCATCGGAGGAGTCTTCAAGTACCCAGAAGCTGTCAAGCTCACAATAGTGAATGTAAGTTTTCCAGAATTCTGATTTTCCCTTGAAAGCTTAAATTTTATTACTGGCAACAGATACGGTCAGTTGATTGCCCTCAAGTGGCAGGTTCACACACTTGTTTTTGAGAGAATGTCTGCCAAACACCCAAACCTGTTTGCTTATTTTTTCTTTTTTTAGACAAGAGTCTCGCTCTGTCACCCTGGGTAGAATGCAGCAGTATCATCATAGCTCACAACAACCTCAAACTCCCTGGGCTCAAGCAAGTCTTCTGCCTCAACCTCCTGAGTAGCTGGGACTGTAGGCGCGCGCCACTGTGCCCGGCTCATTTTTTTTATTTTTGGTAGAGACAGGGTCTCGCTCTTGCTCAGGCTGGTCTCGAACTTCTAACCTCAAGTGATCCTCCCGCCTCGGACTCCCAGAGTGCTAGGATTACAGGCGTGAGTCACCACGCCCGGTCTCACTCATTCTTCTCTGTTAGGTTTTTTTCCCTGTCACAACCATCCTCCATTAGCAGACAGCAGGTGATCTGTGTGTACTTCCCATTACACAGAATATTAAAACAACATGTACTCAGGGTCAAGAGTCAATAGAATGAATAATTTTTGCTTGTTCCGCAAGTACATTCTTAAGTGGCAAATCTTTCACTATGAGCATGTGATGCATAGCCCTGAGGCTCCCGTTGGCAACAAGGCACCAGCAGCTCCCACCACGGCTTGCGCACTGCAGTGCACACACAGTGAGAAGGTGAAAGAACCTCTCACCCCCACAAAGCCCCAGAAGGATCTCCAGATCCCTAGGGATCCTGGACCACTCTGAGAAATGCTGACCTAGATTATGGCTTATATGAAAATGCAAATTATACTCTGAAATTCCACGAAGTACTTCTAAAATTTTCCTTAAAAGCAAAAGTACTTAATGAGAAATTAAGAAAGTCCACCTACGGGGAAACAGCTGGGAAATTTAAGGTGCAAGCAAAAAGCAAGTACATTTAGAAAGTAAACGCCTTCACCTCATGTATGCAGCGCTTCTCTGCAGGGTGGCCTGTGCGTGCGCGTTCTGTTCTGCAGAGAGAGTCGTCTTCCAGTACACGCGGCAGGCTGAGAAGTCTGAAGTCAAGGAGACCTGAGACCCACCCGCAAATCACTTTTTAGTTTATGTGCGCTTTCAAGACAAACAACACTCAGGAGAACAACAGCTCCATACACTTCTCCCACCCCAAAGCCAGTGTCCCAGGGGCACACCCTGCACCCAAAGCCTTGCCTGCCCCTCTCCAGGTCCCACCAGCCACCTGGCTGACCAACCCGAGCCTGCAGCACAGGCTTCACAGCCGCTTTCCTTGCGATGCTCAGTGAAGACGCCCCACTGCCGCTTCTCCTGATTTCCCTCTGGCTGAGTGGGCTGGAGGAAGCATCTCCTTCTTCCACGCACTGAGGTAAAGGGGCGCACCTATCCCTAGACCTTCTATCGTCTGACGGCTCACCAGGTGCTATCTGTGAGCAGTGAAACCTCTGCTCTGTACGGCAGACCGGGGCCATCTGTCTGTGGTGCTCAAGTGACCAGACCAACGATCACCTCTGCAACCCACAACTAAGACTTTGTGAGAGAAAAGGTGCCTTGTTTTAACTCTCAGGCAAGACTGGGCCATGTGAACTAAGGGCCAGGCCTGCTATCCTCAGCCCAGTTTCCACTCTTTGGCCCCACAGGGTACCTTGGAGAGCTCCAGGTTCAGGTCGCAGACCTCCTGGCTCACTTCAGGGGTGCACAGCAGATCAGTCAGCGCTTTGTAGAGGAGGCCATTCAGGGCCCTCAGGCGCACGTGGTCTTCCTTCCTGGTTTTCCTTGAAGTACTCTTCACCAGGAATTCCAGCTTGGATGGCGTGTGAGTCTCCACCAGGAAAAAGAGCACACAAAGCCAACGTCACAACTGTGCACCAGACCTTACTGACCCGCACCAAGGGGGAAGGGTTCAGCAGACCACCGGACACACAACACACACTCCTCTCAGCCACCTCAGCTTTCACGAAGATAAGGTTTGCTTTACAGACCCAGATCCTTCTAGATCTCACCTGTATACCAA